TGGGGAGGTTGTACGCCCTGAGGCAACACGTCAACCGCCCGACTGCGATTTGACTGACAACACCAAGTTGCCTCGCGACCTCCGCCTCCAGAATCATGCCAGCGCTGACACACTCACCATGGAGCATCATGGGCGTGAGCACGGCCGCAATAGCGTCAAATTGTCGAGGCTGCGCAGGCTCGCACTCATCGATGGTGACGATGTGCGCCTTGACGGTGATGGAACCGGTGTCGACAGAGAGGAACAGCCACTGGGCGACGGAGCGTGTCGCTGCGATGAGGGCATGTGGATGGCCGCAAAGGTTTTGAGCGCGGAAAACTTACTTTCATTCCGGACGGCAGCAGTCGGTCTGTGCGGGCGTACAATGTCACAATGGTAGGAGGGCCGGTGGGAATAGGAGATGGACGCACTGTGGCTTGGCCATGTCATTGCAAAATTCGCGCGCCGGGAATGTTTCGAAGGAAACAGATGGAAGATGTGGTCTGGCTGCCAGATATCTGAGGACCAGATCACGCTCGTTATACCCGAGCAGGCGAAACATAGCAAGAGCATACCTATCATACTCACATTAGGCAGCCTTTACACGACTCTCGCGATTGCCGCTGTCCATGTTCACGCGCATACTCGCCGGTGTCCATGACATCTCTTCTGTTGGGGGGAGTTTCGTTACGACGTCGCACACGAGGAAGACGTACGGGAGGATGGGTATCGGAAGCGTAGCCAGACGAATGGTACCTACCTCGAGCTTGCCAAGGACCTCACGACGTGCAACTCGTAGAATACACGCATCAGGAAAAACCTAGTTTACTTCAGCAAGCTATGATAGATATGGCCTATCCTTTGTTGTCTTTGTTGGTCTATCACAGCACCGCATGTAACTTAAGGATGCCGAAGACCTGTTTAGATGGGCCACCACCAGTTGAGAAGCTAATGTCGTACTTGTAGTACTTCAGTTTGAGTGGCTCAAGATGCAAAAAGCATTTTATATACAATTGAGATATAATGACTTTGTAATAGATGACGTATGAACTATGCTAAGTAGCGAGCCGCATCCTTGAGAGGGACCAAGCTTAAGGTTATAGAGTTCATCCCACGTACTTGTATTCGTCCCACATCTCCGCGCCCGCACCGTGTTCCGGCGGGAGCCACGCATGCGAGCCCGACATCGGCGCGCCCTTCAGTGCCAGCGGATGCGGGTGATAGTCGTGCGCCGACATAGGCGGCGCGTGTTCGGGCCTGTACGACATCCCGTACCGCGTCCCCACTATCGTCGACATCGACAGGCCGGGTTGCCCGCCAGACGCGTCCATCGGCAGTCTGCCCATCGGCGGCGCGACGCTCTGCGGGTGGTTCATCGGCGGGTTCTCGTACCCGGTAGGCGGGCCCTGTGATGACTGCGGCGGGCCAGGCGGGGGCGCGTACTGGTAGTAGTTCGGCGGAGCGGGGCCCGTGGTGTACGAGACTGGGTTGGGTTGCGAGAGGGATGAGGTGTTGAAGAGGGACGCCCCTTGCGGCGAGTCGGAGAACGTCGATTCGTACCGCCTTCCACGTCGTCGTTGGAGAACTGCATCTGGTAGTCCTCGCTAGGCATGTGGTCTTGCATCGGTGTCTGCTGCACGGGCGTTTGGGGAGGACGAATCGCGTACCCGTCGTGCGGATGAGGCGCGGCGGGCGCGAGGTGGGATGGGAGCGACTGAATATGTGAAGCGTAAGAGGAGGGCGGCAGCGAGGCGGGCCCAGCAGTGTTGCTCGACATCGATGCACCCCTTGGCCTCCCGCCCCCGCTAGCTGGCTGGGTGGGCCGAGCGCGAATACCCACCGGTTGCTGCTTTCCCTTGTCCTTCTCTTTCTCCTTCATGTGCTTCTTCTCCTTCCTCCCTGACCCTTCCGGCTGCGCCAGACTGGCGTCCTTACCGTTCGCCATGCCGCCGTTCACTTTAGCCGGCGAACACCCCGGGCCTGCCTTGACCGAGCTCACGGACGGGCCCACATAAGGGAACTGGAAGCCCGCCTCCATCCGCTCGTCGTCGAGCACGTCCCACTTGCGCTTCACGCCCGCGGTAGCACCATTGTACGCGCTGTTCGACCTCGACGCCTCCGCCTTCCTCTTCATCATCTCGACCACCCTGACCGCCTCCGCCCTGCTCGACTCCTCAGACGCATACACCGTATAGGTCTCGCTGTCGCTGCATCGTCCGTTCCCTATGGCTCACCGGTAAGTCCCCTCGTTTTGAGTCTGTCTCCGCGACGATCGCCGCCGCCACGTTGGGTGTCGACCTCGCTGGCGGAATAGGACGTCATCCGTTGGGCATGGCCTGCGAGGTGGGAGCGTCGGGAGGCTCGGTCAGTCCGTCGTCGTCCGTCTGTCTGCGCACCCACTCACCATTGGGCCCCACCTTCAGCTGTGTATGAGTCCGCCGGCTTGGACCCCGACGCTTGGCGCGTCCGCAGCAGTTCGACTCTGCTGGTCGTCGAATGGGGACCACTCCTCGACGAGCGGCCTGGCGCGGCGTGGAACGGTACGTCATGTTGTCGGGCGCAACGCTGATGGTGCTCACCGTCTGATCACAAGGGAGCGTACCGTCTCGCCCATGTCTTCCGGGCCCCCGGTGAAGCCAGGTTGCCTGCCCCGTCATTGCATGTCGTGGTTTGACGTGCGTGCGCTGGGATGGCGGCCGTGTCCCTCGACTCAGGGCTCGTGCCCGTTGTTGCGGACGGGGAGCCCGGAGCCCACACCGGGTCTTCTCCCGGACAGTCCGAGCGACGCGGAGAAGTGCTGGCGGGGTCGTTGAACCTAGCCGTGCGGTGCGCTCATGACGGAGTGCCGTGTAGAAGTCCCATTGCCGCCGTGACGATGCGTCGGGCAGTGAGTGGACGAGACCGACAGTGTGGTGCTAGAGACGGTGGGTGGTGTTCAACAAGTGCGGACCGGCTGGGCAATGTCGGTGCACGGCTTACCTTCGCGGTGACGTGTATTGTAGGCTAGGTACATAATCGTATAGTGCGGCATTGGTTCCTCGACAGTATCCTGGCAATGACCGAGTGCGAGAGACGGATGCCGACGCGGGGTGCGTGTGACGGAAGTAGCGATAGTCATAGTGTTGACGAGATTGGAAGACTTGAGGCTCGGCGAACGAGCTTGATTTCGGGGCACGGCGGAGCAAGGGTGGCATGTAGTATTGACTAGTCATACCGTACGGCGAGATCGATACGATACGTAGGGTCGACTCAGGCTGTTTGCAAACGAGCTTGATTTCGGTGCACGGCGGACCGGAGCAGGTGCTGCGTGACGATTAACATTACGACTGCCGACGTCGTCAGGTTGTAGCTCGTGAAAGGAATACGAGCGTGAGGTATATGAAGACATACAAGTGCTAATAGTGCGAGACTCGGTCGCATGGAATTGCGTAGGGTCGTCCGCGAGTGCGAGGCACGATCCGAGCTACATTCATGCGAGCGACGAGTATCTTGTGTACGAGAGTCCCTTGCTCACTTCTCATGCATCTGTTGTAACTCCCCCGCGCGCGGTGCTCGATTTCAAGCCAGCGAGTGTGATCGCAATAAACCAATTGCATTGAAAATGATGGTAGATACAGTATGTGAGGGCCCGCGCTGTCATCACAACACCGCGGGTCTGTCTACACAACTCTAGCGCACGGTCGACGTACGCAGGTACGCGCCTGCCACGGACAACCCTCCGCTGCTCGTCGTGCAGGGCACTTTCAGCACTCACCTCTCCAATCAGTCCGTCGTCCTCCAAGCACGCATTCCACCGCACGGAAACGTCCGCGCTATTGCTGCTAGTGCCGTTTAATCCCGATTCGACGCTGCTCGTCGAGCCGACAGCAGCAGCAACAGAGCCAATCGTCGGGCTCGGTGGGTCGCCGGCCGCACCGTTCATCGCGACCGCCTCCGACGAGAGCGTCGCAAAGCCGACAGACGGCGGGTCATGTCGGAACGCGGAATACACGTTCTTCTGCTCGGGATATCATCAATAGGCGTTCTCGAGTCATCGGATGTTATTGCGCACCAAGAATGTGTCCCCGATGATCCAGGGTGGGGCCGTGCCGCCGCTGGTGTTCACGACGAAGGCGCCAATGCAGTTGTTTCCCGTAGAGTCCACGGTAGTGTACGCGAAGTCGTCGGGGGATATAGCCCACGTCCTCGAGCTATTCCCGAACTGCAGCGTTACGTGGACCTTAGTCGAGCAGGCTGCGCAGAGGTTCAGGTCAAAATCCGCAGTCGAAGAGGAGGTAAGGCTTACGGTAGGTGTAATAACCGCTGCTGTCCGCGGTACTCCCTGGTATTGCCGCGTAGATTTCCTCGAGAGTCCTCAGCACGTCGAGCGCACACGCGATGCCCTTCAGGGCTTCACCGGTGAAGATCCCGCTCGGCTGCTGGATGACCGCGTGCGCGCAGACGACCGCGGCGTCGAACAGCGCCCTGCCGAAGTTGTAGAAGTCGAACGCAGCCGGCCTCGTGTTGGCCCACACGCCGTTTAGCATCCGGCTGGCGTAGATGATCGCATGAGCGGCGTTCAGCGTAGCGAGAATGGCCTGGTGTTTGCCCGCGCCCGTGTGGCTGTCCTTCAGGAACGGGATGTAGAGCTTCATGATGACGCAGTTCGCCAGGATGGCAAGCTCGCCCTTCTGGGCTGTCAGCACGGTAGAAGCAGGAGAGGAAGGTGCTCTGACCAGTATGGTCGAGCTCGAGACGGAACGCGGGTGGAAGCTCGGCGAGGAAGGTTGTCACATCGCTCTCAAACATAGCAGCCTGGTCGATCGACAGTTCGTCCGGGTCCTCCCGAGCGGATCCCTGAATGCCTGCTTCTTGGCGTTTTTTACGATCTGCGCGAGCCTACACTAACATCAACCGACGTGCCTACAATTTCCTGCGCAATCGCCCTTCGTGAGCTCGTAGTTGACATCGAGGGTGGGGTAGGAGTTGATGAAGGTCGCGACGTCGCGCATCTGGCGCGCGTCCATACGCAGGACAGTATGTCACTTGTCGTCCTCCATCTCCATGATGTCGTATACTGAGTCCACGCCAGCGGCCTTGCACCTCGCGATGACCTATAGAAGAACAGAGAAGAACTCGATCAGTCTCAGCATCACGAGAATCGAGCACGAAGAACTCACGTCGGGCTCGAAATGCGGGATCTGCTTGAGTTGAGAGTCAGACTCCCAGCAAGCTTGCACGCACATCTGCGACAGATCCATTGCGCTGAGGGCGTTCAACCAGGTGTTCGACGACATGACGTCCACGCAAGCCGAGAGCAGGTTGAGGACCTTCTCGAGCACCAACACCTGATCGGCCGCAAGATCTGGCGGAAGCGGTAGGCGCGAGAAGTGCGCCTGTAGCATGAGGAACGTCTTGAAGTGCGGCGCCTCGAAGTCCGCGCGGTCGAGCTTGACGGGCACGCGGTCATAGATGCGCCGGAGCAGCACGTCCTCGTGCCGACGAATTGGTATTGATTCGAACTCGGCGGACGAGGCAACGACCTCCAGAGGACCCTTCATCTTCGTGCGTTCCTTAAGCGATCCTGTTTGTTTTCGATGGTCTTCACGGCGATCTCGGCGAGGAAATAGTCGTGGAGCATGTGTGTAGGCAGACGGGAGGCCTTCAGCAAGGAACTTCTTGTAGAAGTCCTTCCGTGTCTGCTGGCACATGAGTACGCAGCGGCTTTTGTCGTCTTCTATGGGACGACACGCACGCCCGAGCATCTGTAGGACATCCATGACGGGATAATCAACGTATCGATGTTCTTTACCCTCATAGAACTGGACGCCCATGATGATCACCATGTAGCTGGCCACGGGGAGACTCCAAGCAGTGTCCTAGTGAACGGATTAGCTGACTGACGACACTAACGAACGCGAGCTACACTGTTACTTACCTTCGAAGCGATCAGGACTTGAATGGCACCGGATTGGGACAAGTGTTCGACGATCTTCTTGTCTTGTTTGCTCAGAGCTTCAAGGTAGTACCCAACACCGTGTTTCAAGGTCTCGACCAAACCAGTATCGGAGATATGGTCCAGGTGAGGTTGAAGGTCAGCCTCCTCGATGTTGAGGAAACGATTACTGTCGTCGTCCGCACCACAGTGCGTGAGGATATCGTCTGCAGTAAGTTGACATTAACGACGAGACGGAACGAAGATGAGGATTGGCTTCGTTGGCGAATACTCGAGGATTGCCAGATAGGCCGGCTTCGACATGGCGATCATAAGCGACGGGAAGTGGGGAATGTTGAAGCTCTGCAGATGGATGTCCATGTCCAGCGGGCGTGCACTACAAGACCTGGTGTCAGTACGCATCTACAAAAATAAGGTCAACCACTTACCTCGGAGGGAAATGGAAGATCGCATGCGAGCAGGCGGGAGAGGCGAGGGCGAGCGGGCAAGCAGCAAGCGGGCAGATGGGGAAACGGGCGGATGGGGAACCGGGCGGACGAGGAACCGGGCGGACGGGGAACCGGACGAAGGAGAGAGCTGGCAAGCGAGTAGACAAGGGCGCGAGCAAGCGGACGAGCAGATGGAGCAAGTATAGAAGTGGGCAGATGGTTCGTCAGGTTCTGTGCCATGACTGGAACTCACGCTCACCTTGTGCTTGGGTATCTCTATTCCTGAATTCATGCTCGTCGTGAGCCAAACTCGCACACGGCGGGCCCATCAAGCCAATGTCGGGGCACCCACCTAGTTTGCGAGCCTCCAGCGATGCTCTTAGTGCATCGCTGAAGCTCGTTGCGGCTGCGTGCCGCCACTGCCGCGCACCCCGTCTCCTGAGGATAGGCCCGTCTACGCGTGTCCTAAAGATCTGCGACAGGCGGACAACGGCGAGACAAAGGTGAGATATGGGGGCAGCGGACGCGAGGAAAGGGCCTTAGAGTCAGGCGCGAAGTCGTGTGTCGGTGTGTCAGTAGTGGTGGCTGCAGGCATTCGCCGAATTGAGCGCTTCGCACTTGAAGGCGACGGCGCGCCTCTGCTGTCTCACCCGCTCGCTCGCTCAGTTATCTTCCCGCCTGCCCGCTCAGCCGTCTCCCGCCTACTCCGTCGTCTGCCAGCCCATCTGCCGAACGTTCAAACACTCATCTTTCGGCCCTTCGTAAACTCTTGCGCTTTAGTGCTCGACCGTGGCAACCCCTGGTCGAACATGCGGCTCTGGCGACACGCGCGCAACTCAGCCGCGCGACCCAGCACTTAAATGATGCGCGTACAAGTCCTGCCTTGAGGGGGCAAGCCGTGCGAGCTGCAAGGAACGTGGAGCAAGAAGGACGAGAGGAGAATGCGAAGAGGAAGGGAAAGGAAGGGTGAGTGGATAGAGCGAGCGCGAAGGCTCAAAGTTCGAAGGTACGCCCCCACTGGACACACCTCATTCACGGCCGTCCTTGGCAATGCCCGCGCCAGCAGGTGATGGATGAACGAGCAGTCCACCGTGCACCCTGCTGGCCATGAACATGACTTTTCCGTCACTCGGGACGATTTCTGCGTCGTAGCCGCTGCACACGGCAACATGTCGGATGCGCATCGCTGCACATATGGCGTGCTCCACTGATTCATGACCAACAGTCGTGTAGTGTGTATGTTACATGTTTCGCCCGATGTACACGCCGGCGACAAAGATACTGACGTCTCCCGGAGACGACGGCCGAGAAGGAGGAGGCGCAGAGGCCAGCGCAGGACGTTCCGACGCGACCCAAGACTCCCGAGCGGAAGACACAACAGCCCGCCCCTGCCACCCCGCGCAGCCGGAGTGCGGTCCGGATCGTCGACGCGATGGGGCGCGAGGTCGAGGAGCCCGCGCCGGAGGCGTCTGGCTCGCGTGACGTCCGACGCGGGCTGGACACCGAGCTGGCGGAGGCGTCGCTGTCGGTCGTGGAGGACGAGGGGTCGTCTGTGTTTTCTGTGGACATGCCGACGCCGCCGGCGCACAACGAGGCGCTTGCGCTGGGGCGGGAGCAGGTGGGGAACATGAAGAAGGAGGCGCGGCAGGCGGAGAAGTATGTTTGCTGTTTCTCCTGGGTATGGCCGTATTGACTGACGGGTACAGGGACAGGTCGTGCCGGGAGCGGGCGGTGGACGACGGGCGGGCGCGGACGCTGGAGGACGCGTCGAGCAAGGCGCGGAGCATGCGGCGGACGATCTCGCAGACGCTGCAGCGGGTGGAGGACGCGGCGGAGAGCGTGCGGACGAGTCGGTACGCGCCGCTGCGCGAGAGCATGCGCCGAAGCACGAGTCGGTTCCTGGTGCGTACACCCTCCCTGCGGTTCCTTGTGGCGATGGTGGTGCTGATTGGAGGCAGCCTTCCGCGATGTCGGAGACGGGGGTCAAGCTGTCGTGGAGCCGCGGTACCTGGCTGTTCTGGGCCTTTGTGCTTATCCAGCTCGGATTCTGTCTGGTCATGTACCGGTATGTGTTGACGCCTCTTGACACGAGCTCGTGGTGACATGTCATGCGCAGATTATCTAACATGCGGGCTCGTCGACTGTTCCTGACGACGTACTACGACCCGTTCTACGCGGACGTCTACCTCTTCACGCGCACGCACCCGTCCCCATCGAACCCATCCGCGATCCCGCCGCACGCGAGCTGGTACGAGGTGCCTGCGATGCTCGCGCGCGGGGGCTGGGGCTGGCAGGGCGCGGTGCAGGAAGTCTGGAGCGGGGCGATGTGCGCTCTTTCGCTACGGCCGTGCGAACCGGGTGCGTCGGAGGTGTGGAACAACGCCGCGCACGGTCACACTCACTGGCCGCCGGCATGAGGCACGCCGGTGTCGCCACATGCGCACATTTGCCTCCTCTGCGCTGTTCTCAACTCCGCCCCGAGGACGCGCTTGGCCAGCTGGGGTGTGCGTCCGCCCGCCTTGGCGAGATGGCATCTCGCGCACCCGCCGTTAAGTTAAGCAGTTCTCTCGTCATTCTACAATACTTAACATGAATACTTGCTGTATGTAGTCGTCACTGATAAATCAATGCTTCGGTGTTGCTATTGAATCACTCATAGCGCGATCTTTCGGCCATACATGGGCGTGACATTAGAAGCGAACCCGCTGTAAACAGGCTATAATTCGAGCTTACACCGCGACTTACTATGTGTACGCATTCTATGAGACCAATTCTTCCAAGACGTCTTAAGTACTGCGCGCAGGCTCAATGGTCTACATAGTATTGTGATAACGACGGGACAAATGATCGTACACCATATCGAACAGAATCTCACGTATCGTACAGACGCACCGGCCGAGTCAGCGTACATAGACAGACATACAGAGAAATCGGGGACGGACAACATATACACACGACTGGCGACAGCGTATCGTACAGCGACGGGTAGAGCAATGATAGCGATGATGATAGCGATGATGAGAGTGATGGTGAGAGCAACTTGGAGAGCGATGGAAAGAGCGACGAAGAGAACGACGGGGAGAGCGACAGCGAACGCGCAGTGTACGGCGTGTATTGAACCACGCGGCGAACGCAGGCAATCGCGATCGTCGACGTACTTCCTAACGACCCGCTTCATCAAGTCGAGGACGCTGACGCCTCTCCTCGTTCACCATCTCCTCGTCCAACTCCCTGACACGCGCTAGCCTTTTCTTCTTCAAGTCCAGGTTGTTGTTTGTCGCTACCATGGTGTCAATCTCCTCGTCGGTCTCCAGGCTCGTGTCGATCACGAAATCCCCATCCCCGAGTGACGTGTGTGCGAATCCGGGCTCTCCGGGAAGGAGCCTTTGAAAGGTCTCCAAACGCTGGCGTGCACAGCACATGGCGCCGTGACGGATGGATTCGACGATGTCGTCGAAGGGGAGCTTGAAGCTCTCAGGGAGACCGTTGTCTCTCTCAAACTTCATTTGAGTGCCGAGAGCAGTGAAGTTGAAGTCGCGCTCGACGTCCTCTGCAGTCCTGAAGAGTTCGTCATCGGTGTGTTTGGCCTTGTACCGGTTCCAGTCCTTGAAGCCGTGCCTCCACATTTCGAAGCGTGCCCTGCCGAAGATCCGGCGGTATCGCCAGCAGAACAACTCGTAGGGCTGCTTGGGGTAATTCTTGTAGTTGTCGATCATGGGCTGAGGACGGCGTAAGCACCCGAGAACCTACCAGACAACACGCGCTTACCAAAGCATAACCCAAGCGTGCCCATTCCTCGAGGCTTAAACCGGAGGTCAGTCCCTCGTTGATGACAGTGCGCTCCTCGTCCGACAGATATCTTGAGACTTCAAACAAGACAAACCACGCAGATAGCTCGCCACACCAAACGCGCCCCTTCGCCACGATGCAGCGTGTCAAGGCGTACTCGGGCCCGCCTGGAGCGGGCTCGGCTATCTTGTCCACATCCTCGTCGTCGACCTCGCCACCCTCGGGCACAGCCTGCTCCTCAGGGAGCTCGGCGAGGTCTGTGAGCGGAAGGACCCTCCACTCATCCAGCTCAGTCGAGCTAAGTGTGGTCACTTTGGGTCTCCTGAACCTCGTGTGCTCGAACATCTTGATGCCGCCCACGAAGACCGGCCAAGTGTGTGAGTTGTCTTTCCGGGTGGAGACAAAACGGTACCCCCGCATCTCAATACGAGAGAAAGTTAGCCAACGTCAGGACAGACGACAACGGTGCTTACGCGTCCCTTGAAACTGTCCCACGGCTCCGTGAACCCCACCTCTATCACCCCCACCTCATACTCGCCGTCTTTGTACACGATCTTGATCACGATATCTGGAATGTGAATGGTGGAGATTATCTGGTAAGGGTCCATGATGGGGCCCGCGATGGTCTTCATGTGTTCGCCACCGAGGATGATCTTGTAACGGTTGCCGCGGAGGACGCAAATGTCGAATAGCATCTGAGATAAGTCCCAGAACTCGAGGATCACCCGTTGGTGGGCTCCAGACACAGACGCCATGTAGAGTTTGAGTGTTCGGGAGTTGTAGTGAAAACTTAAGCGTGCGCGTGTGTGAGTCGCGCGCTGCCTTCTCGACGTCCGGTATAATCAGCTCACCTGAAGAATTTCAGAAGAATGCCGTGCTCGTTCAGGTAGACTACTAGATCCTTCCACTCGTCCTGGGTGATCTCGACCTCCTGAGGTTCAGTTGTCAGTTCACGCCCCAACTTGCCCTCGAGATACCTCACGCGCTCGAAATCGTAAAGTTCAGGCCAAAGCGGGCTCCGAATGGCCTTCTTCCCGAAGACCTTGCTAAGCAACGGGACGGGGCTAAGCTGCAGGTCGGGGCGAAGCTGCCGGTCGGGAGGAGGATAGATGACCTGAGAGGAGCCTGGAGAAGGAGCGGAAAGTGAGCGCGCTGTCTCAGACGTTGCAGATTCGCTGTCTGAGGTCGAATGCTCAGATCGAGCAGAATCAGAGCCTGCCTCCTCCTGTGATCAGCATAATCAAGGCAGATCTAGTAAGCATGACTCGCCGGTATGTTCTGGAGAGAGTTCAGCTATGTCTCTCGTCACTCCTGTGCCCGCACTTTCCCCGCGATGTAGGGGACTACGAGGGCTGTGAGGACAGGATGACCAACCGGTCAGAGAGGCAGCATTGCGAAGAAGAGAACGAGGAGGCAGCAGCCCCGGTGACGAGAGGGACCTGCGATACGACATGTTGAGGGGAGACTTCCGGACGCACGCCTCGCAGCAAGGACCGCCCGAAAGGCTGCCTTATTACTTATGTAACACGGAAGCGGCGGCCGTGCCTAGCGCCACCTTGACACCGCCCAGGCACGCAACCGTGGGATACTGCATGGAGGGGTGGTCCCCATGCCAGCCACTAGCGGGCCGTCAACGGCCGCGAAGATCGATCGCTACGTCGCGAGTTCCAAGTACGTTCAGAGTTTGGAAGGCCTACCTGACGCTGTGAACTATCCGCTGTTGGCGTGCTGAAAGCTGGAGGATCCGCAGGACTAATCAGCAGACACAAAAGAAAAAAGTATGTCCATGCTGTACTTACTGGCTTGTGATAGGTGAGCGTCAACGGTGCGGTTCACTGAGCTCGAGCGCTAGAGCGCTACAGGAGACGATGCAGGTAGGTGCCGTTTAAGCGGTAGGTTGAAGATGGAGGCTCGAAAAAAGGAGACGGTGAGATGACTGCACGAAGCCGAGAAGACTGAGCGCACAGAAAAGGTAGAAGGCGCGGGAGCGAGCACGCTCCCGCGGTCACGGCGTCTTGCCTGTCAAAGTCGCTTAAGCAGAATGGAATGATGTAGGAGTAGAGTGCGGTTCTTGTGCGCCCTCCGCTAGCGCGCATTGAGCGTAACCAGACCCTCTACCACGTCGCCAAAAAAACCCGGTGAGTCTACGTTAAGGTCCACTGAACGCTCACGTATTCACACAGATAAATTAAAAAAGGCCATGGGGAAGAGACGTCGGTCTTTGGAAGATATCTTCGCCACGACCTGTGCCGCCTGTAACCGGCCTTTTGAGACAGTACAAGGTCTTTCCGCCCACCAGACTGCCAGCCAGGGATGTGCTTGGTATAAAAAGGGCAAGTTGAAAGAAATATTCACTTTCGATGTATCCGAAGACGACGAAGACGACGAAGCACTGACCGAAGAAGCGGAGGCATCGTACGAATTTACCGCAGTTGTTAGCCGGAGCACCTCAAGTGACGATTTTTTTACAGGTCGTGTCGCCGAAACCACGATACTGAAGACGGAGCCAGCGGCAGCCATTTGCATTCATCAAACTGCCGTCAACCTTCCACTTCGCCGGACATCTCGTCGTCAGATGAAGAGCGTGAAAGTTCCTTAGAACTCGCGTCTCTGTATGATTTTGTCGATGCCTCTGCACCAATACAAGGAGCCTCTTCAAGTAGTTCGGGAGCTTCCTCCGCTCAATCCCGCCGAACCGCGCTCACTCTGGACGACAACGCTGATACCCGAGTTGAGGATGTGAACGAGGATGCGGCGCATGTGGTCCGAACTGATGAGGCTATACTCGAGAGGTGGCGGAAACATAGACGGAAACAGACGCCTTCACAGCGTAAGTCCTTCTTTATGCTGTGGCATCACACTTTAAACATTAAAACTACGCGAAATCAACAGCAGACGACGGAGAGAATAACGTGGACGACGACCCGCCTAATCCTTGGGCGCCCTTCGAAACCGAGATGGATTGGAGCTTCGCGTCGTGGGCTGTACAAGAAGGGCTCAGCAGAGGGTCCGTGGACAGAGCGTTGGCAATTCCTGGGGTAAGCTACTCACTATCTCGAGCCTGTGTCCTTGCATGCTAAGGCATACGTTCTAGTTCAAAGAAAGACTGGGTCTTTCTTACCACAACTCTTACGCATTATTGCAACGGGTCGACTCGCTTCCGGAGAGGGCGGAGTGGAAGGAAAGATGGTTGACGTTCAAGGACCGACCGAACGAAGAACATCTGGTTCAGTATCGCGACATAATCGAGGCAATACGAACATTGCTAGGCAATCCCGAGCACGCTGACCAGATCGTCTACCGGCCTCGACGCATCTTCTCCGACGCATCTCGTACAACTCGCATATACAACGAGATGTGGAGCGGTCGCTGGTGGCATGCGGTGCAGGTGCGTAGAATATATTGAACTTGTTCCTTACTTCAGCATGCTAACACGATGATTGTGCTCTCAGAGCATCTTACCACACGGTGCAGCAGTCGCCCCTGTCATCATCGCGACAGATAAGACACAGCTAACTCAGTTCTCCGGCGGCAAGTCCGCATACCCTGTGTACCTAACCCTCGGCAACATACCGCGCGCTCTGAGGCGGAAACCCTCGGAACACGCTTGCATTCTCATAGGATACCTATCGGTCGATAAAATCAGCTCGGACGGGATTACCAAACGCAAGCAACGGGCCCTGACGCAACAATTGTTCCACGCATCGGTGCGCGTCATTGTCGAACCACTCATCGAGGCAGGAAAGAACGGGATCGAGGTGACGGGAGGGGACGGTGCGGTGCGCAGAGTACATCCAATCTTAGCTGCGTACGTAGCAGATTACCCGGAGCAATGTCTTGTGACATGCTCCAAGTATGGAACATGTCCTAAGTGTCAGCTTCCTGAGGACAAACTCGAATCGCCATCACCTGGAACCCCGCGCACATCGCTCTGGACTCTTGACGTTTTGCGCCTCGCTGCCGAGAAGACCGACGGGAAGAAGGATTCCGCCGCCTACGCACGGGCCTGCAGTGACCTCAACGTCTCAGGTTACACCGTACGACCCTTCTGGCGCGACCTCCCTTACACCGACATTAACGCCTGCATCACCCCGGACGTGCTTCACCAATTGTACCAAGGCGTATTCAAACATATTGTCGACTGGTGTGGTGAACTCGTCGACGAGCAGGAGCTCGATCGACGTATACGCTGCCTTCCGCATGCGTTCGGAGTCCGTCATTTCAAGAACGGCATATCCGTGCTGTCTCAAATTTCGGGTTCCGAGCGCAAGCATATGGCGCGGATCCTCTTGGGGTGCTTGGTGGGCAAGATCCCGAACAACGCCATTCTGGCGTTTCGATCCATCTTGGACTTTATCTACCTCGCTCAATACTCCACGCACGACGATACAACTCTTCAGTACATGGAGGACGCGCTCAAGATCTTCCACAAGAACAAATCAGTTCTTGTCAACTGCGGTGTACGCGATCACCTAAATATTCCGAAATTTCACGCTCTACTGCACTATGTCGACGCGATCCGTTCACTAGGTACTACCGACAACTATAACACCGAAGCCTTCGAACGCCTTCACATTGACTTCGCCAAGAACGGCTGGCGCGCCTCCAATCATCGGAACGCGCGTCCGCAGATGGTCCAATGGCTCGCGCGACAGGAAAAGATGGTCATATTGAGCTCCTCCATTCGACGTTCGCTACCCCTCGCAGACTACGACTCGGACTCGGACCTTGACGATGACGACGCCGTGGACAACTCTGCTTTGCCGTCTGTTTCCAAGAATGCACGTATCAAACTCCCGAAACACCCCACCGTGCCTCTCCAGTCTATAGATCGTATCGAGGACCGTCACAATTCCCCTGGCTTCTCTAGCGCGCTAGGGCAATACATTTACACTCTGAAGCTAGGACGACCTCTCACTCCTACGGAGCTCAGCACGGCTGTGTCACACATGCCTTTTGATCGCGTCGATGTATTCCACGCCTTCAAATACTCTCCCGAGCCTCTGACAGACAACACGGAGGAGACGGACGCGGTCAAGGCACGTCCCCCAAGCGGTGATCAACCGGGGCGCTTTGACACTGTCGTCGTGATGCAGGACGACGAAGCTGAAGCAACGGGATTGCAAGGTACGTTACTTAGTTTCCTATGCGCCTTGACACAGATCTTTATGCGGAGTTTTCCTAGGGACCAGGATAGGCCGGGTGAGGGTGATATTTAGGTTACCGGAGCGTATCAAAGACCCGCGAACTCACCTTCCCCTGGCGGCGCCCCAGAGCTGGATCGAGCAAGGGCCCTTGGCTTATATAGAGTGGTATTCAAAACTTTCTACGTCAGCAGATCCTACTCATATGATGTACGCGGTGAACAAGCCACCTGTTCGATCTAACGGGCATCCACAGGGCGAGGTAATACCTCTGAGCCTGATTCGCCAATCATGCCAGCTTATTCCGAAGTTCCCTGGCTCTGTGGGTGATGCACCCGAGCACTTGCCAGATGAGTGGAATACACACACTATATTAGATTGTGCCTCCAAGTTCCTACTGAACAACTGGGCTACGAAATACGCTTACCAGACACTTTGGTAGTCTTCGAACTTCAAAGAAAGAATGCTTATTTGTACGTAGAATACTTCCTATATCTTCTACCATTCGAGTAATCTATTACAGTACTTAGAATACTAAATGCATCTTCTGCTGCTCGAACTATAGCACTGTAAGCACAACACCGACTTCTTAACCGCTGGCGAAGAGTCAGATACTGATCTCAGCCACAACTACCACGGCACCTCCTTACCTAGCGTCCATTGCTCTCAGCCTTCCGCCGCCTTCGTCTCATCTTTGCCCACCCCCGCGAACCGTTCACTTCCAGGACACACTGATAGACCACCGGTTTCGAATTCTCGCTGAATAGTGTTGAAGTTTCCATCCCGCCATAGGATCTGGTTGAGACGTAGACTGGGGGAGACCGCGGGGCGATGTCCACCAAGTCAAAGAGGGACTGTAATCTACTCGACGGACTGTGAGTGTAGTTCACGGACGCTCTGGTGAGTTTGTGTCATATCTAGTTTACCGGAGCAATCACTAGCGTTACACCGAGAACGGCTGCTGTCCACAAGAGACCGATACCTGCGTCGTCCCGTCACACTGCTCAGGCTGAGGCTGCGACCGCAATCACAGCTTTAGCGAAGCACCATAAGCATCGTGAAGGTTCACGAAGGACCGTCATGCAGGGAGGGAATCGGGTCATGACTAAATTAGGTGAGAGTCTGCACAACTGCATTCTTGTGGTCGAGGGCCTACTCGCTGAGCTGAGCGAGGCACCGGCAGACATATCTCTGCAGACTGTCATCGGAAGCAGTGGATTCAAGGCTCCATTCAGACGTGCGACCACGCCTCGAGCTACCATGCCAGGCTCGAGTACGAAACCTTCGATAATGCCGAGCATCAGCAATCACCGCGCGCTGCTCGAGACCTGCGCAAATGGGAGCTCTGTCGTGATCAGCCTGGACGAGGTTGCCAGCATATGGCTGGATGTATTTGAGGACACCTTGCTGGGCGATGTCTCTTTGGGTAGCCCGTCTGCACTCTGTGTCAAAATTGAGCTGACACCGATCCTCCTCTCATACCATTCACCGACTCGGCGACTACCTCCACATCCTTTCTTCTGCGGTTCGTGCCTATCCCGTACGCTAAGTTCCTCCCATTACTTGAGCCTGTGGGTGACACGCACGTTACGAACGGCGCCGCCCTCTTCTCTGCGTTCGCGCCCTCCTCGCCGGAGACGCTGCCTCAAGGGACACCGGAACTACTCAAATATGTGCCGCCGAAGGAGCGTAGGGCGGAAATTCTTCGGTGTTTTGAAGAGACCATGGTCCGACTTCCACGACGGACACTGGGTGAAGCGCGTCGAGGCGATGATTCCGTCCAGTGAGGGTGGCTCCGCTAGCGCAAGTATCGTGCAGACCAATGTCAGAACTAGCGGGAGCATGTGCGAGCTCGCCGCGACGTGTTCTTCGGGCCGCTCCCAGGCAAGAAGGCGAAGACAGCACAGCCGAAGCCGACGCTGAACTTCTTCGCGAGCGCGTGCGCCGGGCTCGCGCTCGGTGCGCTCGCCGCGGCGAAGGGGAACCCGGAGGCGCCTGGCATGTCGCCGGCGTCGCACTCGGGCTCGAGAAAGGGGATGTCGTCGGGCATGGACGAGCCGAGCGAGGCGGAGCGGTGCAACCCGGCGGCGCTGTTCGCGCTCTCGGAGCAGGCGCTCGGGCTGGCGGAGCGCACGGCGGCGTACGACATCAACTCGGCGGGCGCGATGATCTTGCAGTTGTTGTATCTGCTGCACTGTTGCCCGGGCGGGACGAGCGTGCAGCAGGGCGTGTTCCCGTTGGCGAGTCGTCTCGCGTGCTGCGTTGGTCTGGTGACGGTGCTGGCGGTGCTGGCGGGAGCGTCGTGAGGTGCAGTGGTTGACGAATTCAATTGTGTAGGTGGGGAAGATGATCAACGTGGCGAGGATGATGGGCCTCGCGAACGAGCCTGACAAGTTCTCGGGGACGTACTCCTTGTTTGATGCCGAGGCGCGGAGGAGGGTGTGGTGGGATGTGTTATACTACGACCTGTAAGTTCTTCGCTTCCTTTGAATCACATCCAACTGACCATGATTGTTACGTCCAGCTTCGTTTCTGACTGCATGGGACACCCGTCGTTGATGCCCGATAAATCTTTTACGACGCGTCTGCCCGCGGACGTGGACGAAGACGCGTTCGGCCCGAGTTCAACGAAACTGCGTGGTGTCTCAGAGACTGGTGATGGAGCAGACAAGGGCTATGCGTACCTCGTGCTCAAATGCAGATGAGTTTTTTTTTCGGCTCAACGGTGCAGCCCAAGGCGACGGTCGACCTGGAGGGCATGGCGTTCAGTCACGGAGGGCACCTCATGTCGAACAAGAAGTGCAAGCTGCCGGAGGGATCGTTCAAGCGGTCAAAGAAGGGATACGAGGAGATCCACGACCCGGCGCCGAAGCAGAAGCCGCTGGCCCCGGACGAGCTGGTGCCCGTCACGGCATTGCCAGAGTGGGCGCAGCAAGAATTCTCGGATATGAAGAACCTGAACCGTGTACAGAGCAAGCTGTATCCTGTGACGTTCGGGACAGACGAGCCCCTGTTGCTCTGTGCTCCCACTGGTGCCGGAAAGGTCAGATATTCGCTCGCGGATTCTCTCCACTGAACTGACAGCCCCTCGCAGACGAGCGTGGCTATGCTTACAGTCTTGAACGAACTCGGCAAGCACCGCGACGAGCAGACCGGCGCATTCGATCTCGACTCGTTCGAGATCGTATATGTCGCGCCGATGAAGGCGCTCGTGCAGGAGATGATCGGCAACTTCAGCACGCGACTGGGTGTCTTCGGTGTCAAGGTCGGCGAGCTGACAGGCGACTCGCAAATGACGAAACAGCAGATCACAGAGACGCAGATCATTGTCACAACGCCTGAAAAGTACGACATTATCACTCGCAAGGGTACGGACACTAGTTACACAAACCTCGTTCGTCTCATCATCATCGACGAGATTCACTTACTGCACGACGAGCGTGGCCCCGTGCTGGAGAGGATCATCGCACGTACTATCAGGCGGATGGACCAGACAGGAGAGTACGTCCGCCTCGTCGGTTTGTCGGCAACGTTGCCCAACTACCAGGACGTCGCCACTTTCCTTCGTGTCGACCCTGCGAAGGGCCTATTCTACTTCGACGCGTCGTACCGGCCTTGCGTCCTCCAGCAACAATTCATCGGTGTAACGGAGAAGAAGGCCATCAAACACTATCAGGTCATGAACGAGGTCTGTTACGAGAAGGTCCTCGACCAAGCCGGCAAGAACCAGACGCTGGTGTTCGTGCACTCGCGCAAGGAGACGGCGAAGTCCATTCGCGACATGGCTATCGACAAGGAGACCATCACGCAGTTCGTCAAGCCTGATGGCGCCACCAGGGAGATCCTGCTCGAGGAGTCTAACAACGTGAAGGATCCGAACCTCAAGGACGTCTTGCAGTTCGGCTTCGGAATCCACCATGCCGGCATGTCGCGTGAAGATCGTGGTCTCGTCGAGGAGCTCTTCGCCGACGGACATCTGCAGGTGCTTGTATGTACCGCGACGCTTGCATGAGATGTCAATCTCCCCGCGCACACGGTCATCATCAAGGGCACCCAGATCTACAATCCCGAGAAGGGCCGTTGGGTCGAGCTTTCGTCACAGGATGTGCTACAGATGCTCGGTTGTGCTGGTCGCCCGCAGTACGACACGTTTGGAGAAGGCATCATCATCACGAACCACTCCGAGCTGCAGTACTACCTGAGCTTGATGAACCAACAGTTGCCGATCGAGTCGCAATTCGTCGCCAAGCTCGCAGACAACCTCAACACTGAGATCGTACTCAGGACAATTCGGAATAGGGATGAGGCAGTCCAGTGGTTCGGTTACACGTACTTGTGAGTGTGCCTGACTTGTCCGCATAGCGTGTACTGATTGGCATGCTCGCCCACATACGTTCGCATGTTGAAAGACCCAGGACTCAGAAGTGCCATCTCGTCAAGTATGAGCGTGCGTCTGGCCGATTCCACAGCACGGAGCTCGTCGTGTCGCATTACTACGTCACGTACAACTCGATGGCGACTTACCACCAACATCTGCGCCTGACGATGACGATGCTCGAACTGTTCAGGGTGTTCGCCCTTTCGAACGAGTTCAAGCTACTTCCGCTTCGACAGGAGGAAAAGCTGGAGCTTGGCAAGTTGCTCGAGAGGGTCCTGATCCCCGTCAAGGAGAGCGTCGAGGAGCCGGCAGCCAAGATCAACGTATTGCTGCAGGCCTACGTCTCACAAGTGAAGCTCTCGAAGGGTTTGCCCTAGTCGCTGACATGGTGTACGTCCAGCAGTCTGCTGGCCGTATCTTGCGCGCGATGTTCGAGATCTGTCTTAAGCGTGGATGGGCCGTCCCCGCGAAGGACTGTCACGCCCTCTGCGAGATGGTCGAACGTCGCATGTGGGGTTCCATGACACCTCTCAGGCAGTTCAAGGGCGTCCCCGCAGAGGTCGTCCGGAAGGCCGAGGGAAAGCAGTTCCCGTGGTACCGGTACTTCGATCTCAACCCGCCAGAGATCGGTGAGTTGATTGGGAATTCAGAAGGCCGGCAATCTGGTGCACCGTCTCATTCATAGCTTCCCGAAGCTGCGACTGCAGGCTCAAGTTCAGCCCATCACCCGCACGCTTCTCCGTATTGACCTGACCATCATTCCCGACTTCCGGTGGGACGAGAAGATTCATGGAACAGCTGAGTCCTTCTGGATCATGGTCGAGGACGTCGACGGCGAGATCGTCTTGTTCCATGACACGTTCATCCTTCGACAGCGATATGCAGAGGACGAACACAACGTGACGCTGACCGTGCCCATGTTCGAGCCCGTCCCTCCCAACTACTACATCTCCATCGTCTCGGATCGCTGGCTGCATGCGGAGACTCGTCTCCCCATTCTTTTCAAGCACCTCATCCTGCCGGAGAAGTTCCCGCAACGTACACCTATCCTTGACCTCCAACCGCTACTGCTTTCTGTTCTGCATAACAAGGAATTCGAGAGCATCTATTCTTCGACCATCCAGATTTTCAACGAGATTCAAATACAGGTAGTCCAGGCCCTGTATACGACTGACGAGAATGTCTTCGTCGGAGCGCCAACGGGTAGTGGGAAGACCGTCTGTGCGGAGTCGCACTCCTGCGGCTCTGGAGCAAGCGTGGAGAACAATGCGCGGTGTGCATCGAGCCGTACCAGGAGATGGTGGATGTTCGTGTCGCTGAATGGCGCAACAAATTCGGCGGCCTTCAAGGCGGCAAGGAGATCGTCAGTCTGACAGGAGAGACTAGCGCAGACTTGAGGCTGCTCGAGAAGGGAGACGTCATGGTGTGCACTCCTGCCCAGGTACGCGATAAATGCTCAGTATTTCAGGCGCTGCTGACGGTGTTATTCACAGTGGGACGTTCTGTCAAGGAGATGGCGTCAGCGTAAGAACGTGCAGACGATCGGTCTGTTGATCGCCGTGAAATTCAACTTGTCGGCGGTGAGGTTGGTCCCAACTACGAGGTTGTCATCTCTCGTACACGGTACATTTCCGCGCAGACCGAGATCAAGACTCGCATCGTCGCGTGCGGCGTATCACTTGCGAATGCTCGGGATCTTGGTGAGTGGATGGGGGCGCCCTCGGCCTCTCTTGCCCACCTGCTTCCTCTTTCCTGCCTACTCACACGTCTTGCCCGTCCGCTCTCGCCTACTAACTAGCTCAATATCGTGTTAGCTTCGGCGAGTACACTGGCGGCGCAACATACGATACTCGTTTATATAGTTGTAATACTGTCATCTTGTAATATGAAGCATTCAATTCGATGTTCTTTTCATTATACGAGCTGCCGACAACTGTGAGCGACCAGTACGACCAATGCTATGCTTTGAGATGTATACTGTGATGGCATATGTTACTGTATGTCGGCTTACAGATCTATACTACTAGCATTCTATCGTGTACTATGCTATTCTATGTCGATCACGGTGGCACTATCACCACTATAGTATCGGCAAGCATACTATACTGTACTATACACGGGTTTCCGACGAGCCTATACCGTCTATGTCGGGCCCTATATTGGCAAACATAGGGATTCTCTGTTTTCCTGATGCACACGGCAAGCCCCACACTTACTCTCATCTGGAACGGCTAGGCTAGCAATACTTCGTACCTATAACAGTTACTGATGTATTGTATTTTCTACTGAGCGTACGTGGTTCTAGAGCTAGTGCGGGCGCATGCCGCTGATTGATAACGCCGAAGGCCGCACGACTTCGGAAGTAGCGGAAGTGCATAGCGAAGGTACTCCGCTCTCACCCTTTTGCTGTCCTCTCCTTAACCCCTCTCTACTTTCTACTCACTGCTAAGATGGGATCGCGCACTCGATCAGCCGCTCGGAAACAAGCCTCCGCTTCCAACGATGGCTCCAAGACCAAGCGAGGCGCCGGCCAGCAGGATCGTGCGAAGACCAGCAAGTCAGGCAGCGACTCAATCCCGAACATCAACACGTCTGGGCTATCTCCTGCTGACCGACAGGCTCTTGCGAAGCTTCGCAAGATGGCTCTGGAGGCTAGCAAGAGCGCAAAAGAGTCGCACCAGAAGGGTGAGTCGAGTACACATGTAGCGTTATTCATGGTTAATGAGTACTACGAACCATCAGATGTACGAAAAAGGTCCGCCGCAATGATGGTCAACGACCACCAGTCTTCTGGTGAAGAGGAGACACAGCCGGTAAGGCACAAGAAGAAGAAGGCCGTGTCAGATTCAGAGCCTGCTGGAGACGAAGACGACATGGATGTCGACCACGAGGGTGAAGAGGACGAGGTCCCCGAAGACGGGGGTACTGCGGATAGCTCAGATGAGGCAGGGAAGAGCGGCAAGTCAGGCGGAATGCAGTCCCAGAGTCAGTATCATTTTTTTTTTCAGTGATAGACCGGCCTGACTCCACACTCGGTTCACCGTTCAAGCCAAGGTTCTGCCCAGGCCTCAGCCGCCTAGGTCTAAAGCATCTAGCAAGGGACAACCTCAATCACCGAGAAAGGCGGCCAAAAAGGCAACCAACCTCAATGACGAGGAAGCCAGCATCGCCCAGTCGCTCAGTGCGTTCTCTAACTACTGAAGCGAGGCTCGCGTTTGACAGGCTAACAACCCAGGCAAGATGGCGACATCGAAGGCCAAGAGCAAGGCAAGGCAGACCACTGTTCTTTCCGATGACGAGGGCAGCAACGCCGACAGCCACCCACAGACTACTACGCAAACCGCGAAGAAAGCACAGCAGGATGTCTCGTCGTCTTCGACCAAGAACAAGGTGCCTCCCCCCCCACATCTCCCTCGTCACCGGCTGGCAGCAAACGGCGAATTGCCTACGTTGCGGTGCCGCCGAAGGTAGTCAAAAATATTTGTAATGCTGTTTACTGACAATACTTGTGTAGCCTCGAGGAGGTGGAACATCGTCGCAGGCCGCGGCAAAGGGCAAAGGGAAAGACATTGCCAGAGTGGTCACCCAAGCGAAATCTACGACGGACTCAGGCGCAAGCGACCTCGATAAAAGTGACGACGAGCGCGACGCTGAACCAAATGCCGAGGATGTGGACGCAGACGATGACGAGGAGGATGATGACAAGGACCTGGAGAAAGGAGGAGAGGAGGAGAGCAGCGAGAACGACGACGACGACGACGATGGCGATGACGACGACGACGACGACGTAGTGGTGAGTGCTTACATGGTATCAGCGAGGTTATAACTAAATGCGCAGGTCTTGCGCGACGAGACGAGAGAGAAAGGAAAGCGTCGGCGATCGAAGAGCACCCGCAACAAACGGGCGAAGGTAACAGATCTCCCACTTGACCTCAGGGCGCTCGTCACCGCGTCCCAGAACTGCTTACGCCTTCGCATCGCTCTCAACACAGCATGGACGTCAGACCGCTCTATTCCAAGCGACCGACTCCCTAGCAGAAACAAGATCATTCGCGACAGTGTGCATGACGCGCATGAGATGCGCGACAAGAACGGCCGCCGCATCAAAGCCCTCAAATCTGGTTTCAATATGATCAGCGATTCAAAGAAGGGCGATGGGAAGGTCAAGAAAGGCGATGTCAAGGACGAGGAGGCGAAGAACGAGGAGGAGGCGCGGCGTGCGGCGCTACAGAAGGCTGTCTATAACGTTGTGAGTCTCACACGACACGCGTCTTCAACCTGGGCCCTCTGACCTGTTTCGAGGTCTGGGCGTGTGCGTCCCAGTTTCGGAACGAGCTGAAGAAGAAGGCAAAGGCTGTTGTCGAGACGGTGTACGGCCTTCATGGTCTATCCGCTGAGCAGAGAAGCAGAGCAGCTGCATGGCTGCTGATGGCGCATCCTACCCAGGTCAACGACGGCACAGGATCGAGAAACATCCCCAACTTTGTTTTCAGCGACATCAACATTGTCTTCGACGACCGCAAGCAGCTGAATGTGAAGGTGGGCCCGAAATAACCTACATACGACTAGCTAGTGACACTTGCAGCAGGAAAGTCGATTCAACGAGGACGAGCCATTCCGGCATCCTGCCATTTCGGAGCTGATATTCCAGCACTGGGCGTTGGGAGCGCGTGCGGACGCGAACCTTCACGCTGCCATGGACCGATTCTCTCAGGTCCCAGACAATTTGATTGCTCTGGTTTGCAACGCGGTGCGTGGCCTGGAAACTTATTCTGTTCAGCCCTGATGTCCTCTGTTACACAGATTGAGAATGCCCTGCTGGAGATCATGAACCACGGCTCCAATTTCTTCACGAACAAGCTGTTCGCCGTCAAGTACTAGTGGTCTCCGTTCCGCAGACTAAAACATTTACTAACGTCAGTTATAGGTGGGATGGTCTCATTGCCATCTTAGAGACCCTGCAAGAGGAACTTCCGGAGTACTACGACCAGACGAAGAAGGAATTGTGGGGCCATATATCGTGAGTGCGAAGCAGAACTTAATTCGAGTGGCTGACGCCTGTTCACAGCGGGCGACTCAACCTGAATGTCATCGAAGAAACCGAGCCTGTCGCCAAGGGCGCCAGCTTTCTCAAATTCGACCGCATGCGTGCGAAGCTCAGCACTAGGGCGACATCTCCGTCTACCTCCGTCGCCGGGGCGATAGCCGCGACGAAGTCTACGGCTAAGTCTACGAATGCGAACACGAATGCGAACGCGAACGCAAACGCGGCGAAGCCGCCCTCAAGCAAAGGGAAGCCTCCGAGCATGAAGACGGCGAAGACAGGCTCAAAGTCGGCCTCAGCCAATGCCAAACATGCCGAACAGGACCCTGTCGACGACGGTGCTCAGACGGCTGGAGCGTCCAGTAGCAATCTCGGTGCTGTGCAGGATGGGTCGGAAGGCGAGGAGCCTGACGAGCCTCAACTTGAGGAGGATGAGATCGACGAGGGAGAGGGGCCCTGAGGTACGCACACTCCACCCGTCTGCGTCGTCTGCGTAGGTTGCTCTCGTGAGCTATGTTCGAAGCTAATACATTACTATCAGGGGCTTTGAATTCCGACGCATCGACCTGCAGTTGGTCTTTCCAAGGTAAGTCTCAGTCTGTCAGCCTTTCGTAGACCCGAGCTAAGTTAAGCCCTAGGACATAATCTATCCGCCGTATTCGTTGTTGAAGTGAAAGAGGTTTAGAAGGGCTTGTTAGGCCAGTGGAAGTGAAGGACAGTAGAGTGGAGTGAACAGACCTATCCCAGAGGGAAGACTCTGATGCTAGGCAGGCAGAAGAGAGGAGAGATCGTTATCCATTAGGGGGGAATCACCCTAGTATATATACATGTCTGGGACTGATCACATGCTACATCAGTAAGCAGATCAGTAATCACTAAGTCCGAGTTTTAGGGAAATGAGTAAGCCTTAACTCCAGAGATAGGGATATGCATAAGCGTCCATGTGATCAAGGAATGTACTGGAAGGTCATGGAACATGCCGGAAGGGAGTGGAATGATCCAGAATAAGTCTGGAACAGTGTAGATCGGTCTGGAGCGAGTCACAAGATGAGTCCAGACAGAGTCCATCAAAAGAATGTATGTAATACTACATCGCAGAACACAAGTCCATATATGTACGTAACTGATAAGATAAGATAACACTGGAAAGTCGGAAGTTCAACACTCCCACTTGTTCAAGATGTCAAGTATCTCATCATGCCAACTGAAGACCTGAATTTCTCAATTCCACTGAATGGAACATTCTTGGTCAAGGCATCAGCAAGTTGGTCTTCACTTGCGACGTAGTAGATCTCCATTTCTCCACGTTCGTAGAACTCCCGAATATAGTGATAACGGATTTCTATATGCTTGGTGCGGCGATCCACAGCAGGGTTCACCGCAAGGAAAATGTTGCCTTGGTTGTCAAGACAAAGCGGAGTTGGATGAGACATATTATCTCCCAGTTCTTCTCCAAAATGACGTAGCCAGGCCATCTGACGACAGCAGTCAGAGCTGGCCTTATACTCTGCTTCAGTTGAAGACAAAGATACCGTCGGTTGACGTCTTGACACCCAAGAAACGACACAATTGGCCATAAGGAAAGTAAAGCCACTTGTAGAGTGCCTATCATCGTGATCTTCACCCCAGTCAGAGTCTGAATAGGCAATCAGACCAGAATTCGAGCCTCCGTCATAACAGAGAGCGAGTTCCTTAGTCCCTTGAAGATATCTTAGGACATAGTAGGCTAACCGCATATGCTCTTTGGATGGGTTTGAAGAATACTTTGCCAGACGTGTGACCGCGAAAGAAATGTCTGGACGAGTACCGAGCATAGCATACATGATGCTGCCAATAATGCTCTGGTAGCGGGTACGGAAAACCTCAGATGCTGTGTCTGGATTCTTCTCTAGGTCTGCTCCAGCGGGAAGAGGTGTCCGTGCAGGCTTGCAGTTGGACATCTGAAACCTCTCCAAAACTGACTCAATATAGTCTTCCTGATCAACGTAGATGAGACGTGTAGTACGCTCTCGACGTATTCTAAGACCAAGGAATCGCTGAACAGCACCCAGATCTGTCATCTGATACTCTAAGGACAACTTCTGCTTGATGTTGTCGATAAACAATTTCGAGTCACCCATGATGAGCAAGTCGTCGACATACAATATGATTAGGCAGGTGTGTCCGTCAGAGTCCCGGGAGAAGACATAAATTCCAGCATCCGAATAAGTCCGTTTAAACCCTAAGTCTAGGAGAGACTTGTGGATCTTAGCATTCCATTGACGAGAAGCTTGCTTTAATCCATAAATTGCCTTCTTGAGAAGACAGACAAAGTTCTCCTTGCCAGGTACAACCCATCCTTCGGGTTGTTCCATGTAGATTTCCTCGTCAAGGTCACCGTTAAGGAATGCCGTCTTGACATCCATAGACTCTATCTCCCAATCTTCAAGGGCTGCATGTGCCAACAAGTAGCGTACAGATTCAAACCGTGCAACCGGAGAGAAAGTCTCAGTATAATCTTGACCCCATACTTGGGTAAATCCCTTTGCGACAACACGTGCTTTATAGCGACCATCGTGCTTAATCGCATAAACCCAACGGCACTTGACAACCTTCCGGTTTTTAGGCCGTGGAACTAGAACCCAAGTCTTATTGTCCATGAGTGACTTGTACTCAGAACCTTCAGCAGCGAGCCATTTATCATGGTCGTGAGATTCCATGGCTTCCTTATGACTTTGGGGAAGACCATGGTTTGCTTCCGCCAGCATCCGTATAAATTGAGCAGTTTCAGCCTCAGGTTGTTGACGGCCTTGACTATCAGTACGACGGTCAATACTTGCTGGTGGCTCGTCACCATAGGCATTGTCTCTATTCCTCTGAGGGTTCTGTCCAGCACCTTGACGGCGAGGACGCTCATACTGAGGTTGCGGAGGAGCTACTGGATCAGGTTGCTGTTGCGGATTATCTCCCACTGGCTCCTGATGTTCTTCAGGTTCATGTTCCGGCGGGACAGGAACAGGGATAGGAATATCCTCAAAATCTAAATCCTCTGAGTTGGCATCCTCAGGAGGTTCATCAAACGGCTCATCCAGGGATTTCGGATTATTGCCTAAGTCCTTTCGTGCAGGAAATGTCTCTTCATCGAAGGTCACATCACGAGACACAACAATACTTCGAGTAGCCGGGTTCCAGAAACGATACCCTTTGGAACCAACTTCATAGCCTACAAAGATCATCTCAACAGCCTTCTTGTCGAGCTTCCCAGATCTCTGTTCTTTCTGCACATGCACAAATGCCTTGCACCCAAAAATCCTAAAGTATGAAATGTCCGGAATTGTGCCATTCCAGAGAGTAATGGGGCATTGCCAGTTAAGGCGTCGCATAGGTTGCCGATTATAAATATGAACCGCAGTGTCCACAGCCAATTGCCAAAAACCATGGCTTAGTCCAGCATGATGCAGCATAGACATAGCCTTCTCAACAATGGTCCGATTCCAGCGCTCAGCTCTCCCATTCTGTTGAGGAGAGTACGGCATTGTGAACTGATGTTCAATACCAAATTTGCGCAAATGTTCGGTAAAAGCAGCAGACGTATATTCCCCCCACGATCCGAGCGTACAGCCTTGATTTTTTCATCTGTTTGGTTCTCAGCCCATGCCTTGAAGTCATCGAACGCTTGGATCGAATCGTTCTTGTGCTTGAGATAATAGGCACGACCAAGACCAGTATAGTCGTCAAGAAAGCTGATGAAATAACGCCATCCACCTATTGCAGTGGTACGCATAGGACCGTCCTCATCAGTATGAATGAGCTCAAGGGGCTTTGTAGCACGTTTAGCCGATGGGGGAAATGGAGCGCGATGAGACTTGCCCCACTGACACCCTGCACAAGGAGAAGAAGTATCCTTGGCACCAATGGAATCCACACCCTTAGTGTGCTTGGGAATCTGACGAATAACATCTTCAGACGAATGTCCGAAGCGTTCATGCCAGAGACGAAAATTCGACTTGTCTGTAGACTTTGCCGATTGCGGTGTCAAAATGTCTAGGTACAACATATAGAGATTATTGAAGGGCTTATGGTGTGCCTCCATGATCATGTTACCACAGACTCGACCTTGCGAAATAGGTTGGTCATAGATGACCATACGACCTCCTCCCTGAACTAGGGTAAAACCTGATTGCTCAATAACACCAGTAGAAAATAGGCGACCAGATGCGGCAGGGATGTAAGCAACATTTGTAATAGTTGCTTTAACATGTTTCCCTTCAACGTGCACAACACCTTTGATGGTCCCTTCTCCATAAGCTGCAATCTTAGACTTGCCGGCTGTACCAAAAATCATGGGTTCCTCGTAAGGAGTATAGTCCCAAAAATCAGCCATGTCGTTGGTGATTGTCTTCGACGCACCAGAATCCATAATCCAGTCAGTCATTCTTCCAGAAGCGGAGTGACCCGCAGTATACCAGGAAGCAGTCATAGTATTAGCTGAAGACGACACGGAGGATTCTACAGTTACAACATTTGTGGAGTCTGAAGTAGTAGCAGCGTTGGAGGAACCAGAACCAGATTGTCCGTTACCATTGCCCTTGCCCTTATTCTTCCCTTTGCCTTTGCCCTTGTTGTCCTTTTTCCCCTTGCCGCCACCCTTATTTTGGGGGCGCAAATGCGGGTACTTTGTCCAACAATTCTCACTGCCGTGATTTCCACCGCAGTGACCACAGGGACCCGATGACTTGTGCTTGACCTGGGATGTCTTGGACGCAGACTGTCCCATACCAGACCGGCGGAGAGATTCTTCGGCAAGAATCTTCGACTGAACAGAGTCGACCTTGAGATCCTTGATGTTCTGCGTCGCCATGAGCGCAGAGATCATCGATTGATAGGATTCAGGCACCTTCGACAGAAGGAGAAGAGCCTGGGTCGATTCACCGAGAGTTATGCCACCAGCCGTAATCTCCTTAAGCCGAGTAACCAGCTTGTTGATCTGATCCTGCAGAGGTTTGGAATCAGACATCTCCGGAGACTTGATCACCGACTGGAAGAGACTCCAGACGAATGCCGTGTCGGGTGTACCAAAGGCTGTCTTAAGGGCCGCCCACATTTCCTTAGCGGTCTTGAGTTCACCACTAGATCCCTCGAGCAAATGATGCATCGAGCGATCAGTCCGCATAAATAGAACACCCTGAGCACGGGCATTCTGTTTCTTGTACTCTGTGTCGGTAGTTACTGTTGCAATAACAGCGGGCCAGGCTCTATGAATATTAAATAACCGCGCATAGCGGCAGACCAGTCAGCGTATTGAGACGCTGAAGAGAGCTTAGGGATATTGTCTGGCTTGACGTCACCCATGGTTGCGGATAAGAGGATAAATTCGCCTTGTGTGTCGGGCGAAGAAGGAGGTTCTGGTGTAAATAACTCGAAGGGTAATTCCTCCGGTTCAGGTGTTTGAGATCTCGACTCAGGGAGCGAGATTAAATG